TAGCACCATGGATACGCTAACTAACTAACCTGTATAAACAGAAAGTACCTGAGTTTTAAAGAATTGAAAGAATCTGAATGATATAATGATTTGTGTTGTATACTGTGTATACCTATGAAGTAGAATTACTACTGCAATAGAAACTAAATACATATTTCAATATACCTCTAATTTTCATTTTTACTTCTTAAGCAGCAAAACACAATGGCTTTTTTTTATCCAAATAATTAAGCTGTATAATCAAAATTTATTATGAGTCTGGTTAATATATCCAAGAAAATATTTACTTTAATATATTAATGTATGGTGAGCCTTGAAATGTGTGAGCCCAAGGAAGACAAATAAAGCTCAAACATCTGCTAGGGAGAAATATCCCTGGAACAGCTCCTACCCAGAACACATCTGTTAGGAGAATTGAATACTTCCTGAGTTCTTGCACTTTATCAACTTTAGGCTTAAATTAATAGAATTTGGGGGAAGGAAAAACTCTAAAAATCCATCAGTTCAGATACAAATCTAGATTATATAAATTATTTCAGAAAGATAGTATCCCATTTCCACTTTTACCATTTGTTTCTCCCCTCTTCCTGTTCTCTTGGCTCTATAACAAAGTTCCTGGGTCATAGTGGGTATTAAATAAATGTTGATAATTAAAAATTTAATGAATGATTGAGTGACAACACTTTACCAAAATACCTTCTAAAGATACCTTGAATTTTAATTCTAGACACTGATACTTTAAAAATGTTAAAATAAATCTGTATAAAACGAATTTCACTAATGAGATGTTACCGTCTGTTACACAGTATAGTTTCAAGAGTATGTTTTATTTCTAATATATTTCTGTTCTTCATGCTTCAGCAAAGATGACCTTTAGATGCTTCCAGAAAGTTTTAAATTAATGTGAAGCAAACATTCTGTTGAAATCTGAAACAAAACTAACTCTACCCTATATACCAACAGGAAGAGGAACAGAATGGCAGGTTTCTGTCTGGTAGATTAGTAGTGTACATCTCCACTCACCATTAAACAAACAAAAAAATATCCACTACAGAAGTAGGCTTTCTAAATCTCAAAATAACTCCCCCCTTCCCACCCCCAAGAAACAACTTACTTTACTGCAGTAACCCAGAGAGAAAAAAATAACTTAAATTATTTTTTTAAGTCAGTAAAATCACATCAGGACATTAAGGGTCAGGCTAAATATTATCAGGGATAAATGGGGACATAAAGTATTAAACAGTGTGCAGCTCTAAACAGTGTATATCTTCCTATCTGAATTTCTAACTTTTGTAGAACTTAAATAAAGTGCTAGGCCATCTGCTTTAGGGCCCTGAGGGGACGACAATACTTATGTGGAAAGGCTTCTCTAAGCTGGATCCAGTGATTGCAGGGAGGAGATAAGTAGCATTACCATGTCCTAACATATGATTGATTGCACCATATGAGCTAGCACAGACTCTCATGATTATAGCACACTTAATGCAAATGAAAAAAAATATTGTTTTCAAGTTTCTACATCAATTTGTATCATGATGCATAATGCCAACTTTGATTTATAGCCCTGCTCTAAAAAACTATTGGTGCAATAAGATTAAATAAATATTTGCAACTGATTTTAAAATTAGCAACAAAATAATAGCTACAAAAGCCAAAATAGACAGATTCATATTCTCGGGGTTCAGTAGAAATGGGCATTTGCGTGTTCTTTTTTAAAAATTTTTAATTAATTAATTTATTTGTTCTAATTTGTTATGACAACAGAACACATTTCAGTTCACGGTACACAAATGGAGCACAATTTTTCATTTCTCTGGTTGTACACAAAGTAGAGTCACACGATTCGTGTCTTCTTACATGTACCTAGGGTAATGATGTCTATCTCATTCCACTGTTTTTCCTACCCCCATGCCCCATCCTTTTCCCTCCCTCCATTTGCCCTATCCAAAATTCCTCTATTCCTCCCCTGCTCCACCCCCACCCAAACCCCCATTATGGATCAGCATCCACATATCAGAGAGTTTTCTTTATTTGGCCTTTGTTTTGGGAGGGATTGTCTTACTTCCTTAGCATAATATTCTCCAATTCCATCCATCTACCTGAGGGCATTTGTGTGTTCTTGGGGGGCTTTTAAAGTATATTAGCTTCCTAGCAAATTTGAGGAAACCTTACTTTTACTTTTATGGGAACTAGAGTAAATGATGGTTCTTATATTACTAATGTGTATAAACAAGCATGTAAAAAAGTGTGCAAGAAGGGGTCAAGAGCCATTTTCTAAGGCAGATTTCAGAGAGACGCAGTAGCTGAATGGAATCATATGGAATTAAGAGTACTGACCTTGGATATGCCAGTGGGTAATAGTTTTTCTTGCAAACCTGGTCATTTTCTGAGTCTTTGCTAGTTCAGATAAAAGTAATAACTAATGTAAATGGTGTGAGTTGTGAACATTGTGTTTTTCAAAGGCTAGGAAGTATTAACCTGCCCCAAAGAAACACCATGTTCAAGGACTAAAAAGTAGGACTGTGGGTGAAAAAGAGATAAAGCTTTCAATGACAATAAAAGTGAAGTTATAGTTATTTATAGTTCTAAGAATTTATAGAATAAAATGATACTTGAAGGAAAAGAACTGAATTCTTCTATGCTTGTAACATGAGCTATTTACCAGATAGATTTTTATTCTTATGCATGTTTTATTTTGTAAATACTTGCACAATTTAAATTGTGAAATATTTACTTAGATATTCACTTTCCAATATTTTATGAAATCATATTTAAGGATAAGTTTAACAAATTTAAGTTATAACCTTGATAGAAGAAAATATTTTTATTATTCTTTCCATGTAATTTATCACCAATGAAACGGTCTACTTAGACAACACCTATATAATATGAAGAGGTAATTTTTTTTTCTATAGCTTGACCCTTAAACAGTGAATAAATATCCACAATGTTCTGGTAGCTCTACTTGTTCTTACTTTAAGATTTAGTGTAAAAGCTAAATTGGACATGGGGGAAAAGGTTAACTTAGGGATTCCCTCTGCAATCTTATCAAAAAATAGAAGGGAATGGGCATTTCCATTGGATGACTATAAGCATTCGTTTGTTTTGATTAATCTGTGTCTCCAAGAAGGCAAGAAGTCCTGTCTTCCTTTCCAGTCAGCTTTATTGACATGAACAAGTAAAATGACTCCAACTTCTTTGGCATCAGAAAATCTTCCCTGTCAGAGGATGGTTATGAGATAACGGGGATTAGGAGGTTTCTTTATGTTTAAAAAAGTACTCTAGATAATAATAAAACCAAAGATGGAAGCTAGTGCAATAAATGGCTACCACAGATTACAATTGAGGTAACAGAATTAAAAAAAAAACATGAGGAGAATTATCACAAATAACATAAACCGACAACAAGTCCAGCTCTTTAATAGAAATCAGTTTTATATCTGATTATCACCACTTAATAGTTCTGTAATATCTGGTGAACTATTCGATTTCTCTGAGCCTTTGTTTCCTTGCCCAAAAAGAAAAATAAAGTATCTAATGTGAAAAGCTATGAAGGTTTGTTGCATTCCCTTCCCTTTTGTTCTTCCCTCTATCATTAGGTTCAGATATTCTCGGTAGAAAATTAAGAGGCATAAGAAAATTAGAAGGTATCAAAACGTCCCTGAAAAGCAGGGAAATCGCCTACACATCACATGGGTGAATCTCAGGACAACACATCTTAATTTGACACAAAAAGTGCAGTGACAAATCATAAAGATATAAATTTGGCAGACCAAAAACAAATTTGTAAGACATTTCCAGTGTCTTTACCCTGAGCTAAAAAGAACCACTCCATCAGTGAAGTGTTGTGTAGGAGAAACAACTTGAAACTGGAAACTATTTTTACTTTTATACATAAAAAGAGGCAAATCATTTATCTTTTATGACCCTGATCATCTCAATAACTTATGAATAATGTTTAGAATTCAATAAAGTAATGAGAGAGAGCGATCTGTGAACTTTAATAGGAAATGATCATTACTGTGATACCATTTATCATGTGTCATTTGTCAGGCACTGAGTTAGAGATTAGATAATATCTAATTTAATTTTTATTATGAACCTTTAAAGTAAATGTTATCATCATACTTATTGTATGAATGAATATACTGAAGTACAGGAAGATTATTTGTCCATGGAAACAGCTAACAAGTTTTATAGCCAGAATTGAACCTTTTTTTTGAGACTGAAAAACCATAATTCTTACCCTAAAACAAATCATATTATTCTATAATTTTACAGATAGTAGCTATAGATAATAGATCRTCTTTATTCACAAGTGATAGGTATGATTGAATACTATGTCTTGTGAAGGGCAAATTCATGTGATCACATTATTTGTTCAGTGCTAATGTCATTGTTCTGATTCTGACTGGCAGGTGCTAACGGAAAGATTCATTTCACAAGGCTCTTGGGTTGTAACATATTTTTAATCTTATGTATTATTTTGGCAAAAATAAAAAAAAATTCACAAGGAATTTGACAAGTCTATGGATTTTTAAAAAATTGTATGTTATGAAAAGGGAAAAAAATCTGTTCTGTGTTGATTCATATTCATATGCTGAACTATTTAATCCTCATGTAAGGGGGTGGATATAAAAGTTTTAGAAACAACATTAAAATATAAATGGAACACAAGCACTCCACTGGGAGGAATTCACTTTGCTTACAAAGAAGATCTGTACTTTTTATAAAGATGATCTCTGAGCAGGCACTATGTGCCAACAGCAAAGCTAAAAGATACTCAGTGGGGGAGAATTTCTCCACTTATTTTATTCATATAAAGTCCTTTAGCATTTAAAAACTCTCCATTCTATTTTTATTTAACAGCATTCACTCAGTGCTGAAAGTTTACTTCATGTTCTGTTTCCTCCCAGAAATTCAAGGCTATAGGAAGTGCTGGAACTATATATATATGAAAAGAGGACACAGAGTTGACAATAAGGGTTAGTCGACTTTACCTCATTTATAATGATCCAGTGACAGTCAAAAGCAACCAAATTCGTTTCCACAACCTAGAATAGAAAACAAACCAGCTATCAGCATTAATCATGAAAAACAATCAAACTAAAGGGAGATACTTTGTAAATGACACAAAATGAATCATACATTAGAAAGGCCTTTCTATTGAATTCAAGATGGAAAAACATGAGCAAAATACCGCAGAAACATTTGTGTTCAACAGGTAGATGTAYTGTAGACTTGCTACACAAATTTAAAAATATAATTAATCAGAAGCCTTGATAAGGATAAATTGCAACTAAAAACTCTGAGTAATACTGCATTGTGATTTAACAGGAATAGAGTTCAAATCTCAATCACATTCCCCATTCCAACAAACTTTGATGGTTTTCTATTATCTATCTAACAAATATCTTAAGCATCTCTCTCCCTAAAATCTGGCTCTAACTTAATATTTTATCTTCTGCTACTTCACTGAGTATATACTTGTTTACTACTATCTTTGGTAAGTAAACTGCTCCCTGTTTTGAAAATTATTTGTTTTGCATATTTTCAGTAGATTCAATTCTAAAATTATCTGATAAATAAAATACTAGAAGTAAAAGATTATATTAACATTAAGGTATGGGTAGGAAATCTTAGTAGCTATAAATCACTGATAATATGAAAACAAAACTTACATAAAAAGTAAAGCAAATAACATATAGGTAGGAATCTTGGTTGATTAACTTTGAACATTTCTCTAAATTACCCTTGTTGTAGGCCAAAAATGTAAGGGGTGTGTGTGTGTGTGTGTGTGTGTATACTGAGGATTGCATTTCTGTCAAGGTTTCTATTGTATCAATTTTTATAATACATAGTGTAAGACATGTTCTTACTATTTATATCATAGACTATAACAGGAAAAATTGCTTTGTAAGAAATTATTCTTTTATTTTTAGCAATAATAACTGAAGATATGGTTTCAAATGAGGATGCATTCTAATAGCTAGCAAGGAGTTATTATAAAGTGTTAATTGTATTTTGTTGGGTTTTCTTTGTCCTTTTGAAAAATGCCTACTGAAAAATGCACAGATCACAAAAAATACAATTGGATATATGACTATTTTGTGATTTGATATTTTCTTAAAGTTAATATTTGCAGAATCTTTGTTTTCTAAATAGTTGCATAAATTTCATACTATTTCAACATATATTATATTGGCTCCCATGATCTTACTGAAGTATATGGATAATGAATTATTAGAGAAGTGAGAATGTAGTATCAATTTTTAAGTTTGAACATTATTATTAGTTTTGAATTACATATATATTTAAATTATAGTGCAAATATAATATAGAAAATCTGACCCATGGCAAATTTTAATTTAATTAAAGAAAATAGAAAAGTTTTTACTTCGTATCAGTATTACTAAATCTCTGGTTCTAATTTTCTGATTTTTTTTCCATTAATAGTTGTGAAAACACATCATCAATAATTATGAAGAATGGGGCTCCAGTTTTGGCTCCGTGGTAGAGCCCTTGCTAGCATGGGCAAGGCCCTGGGTTCAATCCTCAGCACCACATAAAAAGACATACAAATAAAGTAAAAGTATGGTGTCCATCTATAACTAAAAAAAAWTTTTTTAATGATTATGAACAAAGAAAAACATTAGAAAATAAATGGGAACTCTACTAGAATTTTTAAAAGTATGATATAAGAGATTCAGATAAGGGGAAAGTAGATCTTTGGATAAAATGGCAGGAAAAAACTATAAATAAAATGAAGAAACAGGAAGAATTAAAAAGAAACAGAGCATGAAAGCCAAGCAATAGGTAGTATAGATTTGAAAGTACTACAGAAACGACATTAATGGTAGAGAAGTGTTGACTCAATTGAGTTTAAATTACACTTGTTTAGATAATCTGAACTATGGGGTCAGACTAAGCAAAATGAAAGCTATATGAACTCTACAATATTTATAGATATTAAGCAAGGAGCTGTCTTAAATTGCCTCTGAACATGATTTCCTGTCCTCCCTTGCAGGGTACAACGGCATTTATGAAGCAGGGAATGATAACTTATTGGTGATTTATCTAGACAATAAAACATATTTCACACTTGGACTTTAAATAATCTTTCAGGTGAAAGAATGAAACTGTACCAAGAAACATAGCTTAATCTCATCTTTCAGTAAAGAAGAAACGTAAATATCTCATTGAAGGCCATGATTCTACCCACTATACTACCTTCCCTCCTTTAGGGTTAGCAGAGAAATAATCTCCACTTTCTGTCTTTGGTTTTACTGAGAAATATTAAAATGTAAGGTATTTCAGCAGTATATATTTGAAACAAACAAAATTGTGAGGACATCACTGCAAATAAAAATAAATAAACTATATTCTTCTTGTTCTCAATTGGGAGCTCTTTACTATGGGTGGGCACCATGTGCATATGACCACTCAGTATGAGTAAGCTAAATTTCATCCATATGGCTCAATGTATATTTTAAAGAAAGGGCTGTTAAAGCTTTCATCAGGCTTTCAAATTCTTACTGGGTCTCTGTGAGACTATTCTAAATTCATTAGTCCCAAAATTTCCCTCAAATTTAGGTTGCTCTAAAAACAAGCTAGTAGACTCAAAGTTTATGAGAAAAACTGGGCAATATGAACAGCATAACAGTTTGAATTCCCTTTAGTGTCTAAGCACAATTGGAGATTCATGTGGTAGAACCTGATAGATGATCACCCCAAAATTCCTTCTCTTCTTCTACTGGACACCAAGTAGGCCACATTTCCTGTCCTCCATTGCAAGGTAGAACTAAATGCCATTGGGTCATAGCCCATAGAATGTAAGCAGAAGTGATATATGTCACTTCTAAATCTGACCCATAAAAACTTCTCATCTACATATGTGTGTCTGCTATACCTTCCATCTTACTGAGAGTGTGACATCATGCCCAAAGACATTTTGGAGGTCACAATATTTCCAGTGTCTGGAGCAGACCCTTCTCCCCTATTCTCTTCTGTGGTAGTGTGCTTACATGAAATTAAACTCTTTTAGACTGAGACATTACTTTTGGTGTATATTTGTTAAATGAATTTAGCTTCTTATCTAATGTAAAGCAGTTTTATTTATCTCAGTTTTGTACCTTTTTTCCATATTTTTATTGGTGAATTATGATTATACATAATGGTGGGGTTTGTTGTTATAAATCCATTCATGCATACAAAATAACAATACCATTCCCCACTAGTTCCTTTTCTCTCCCTTTCTCCCTTCTCCTGGGCCCTTCTCTCTACTGATCTCCCTCTGATTTTCATAAGAATCCTCACACAAAACTTTTTCCCTTTTTCCTCTCTACCTTCCACATGTGAGGGAAAACATATGACCCTTKGCTACCTAAGTTTGGCTTATCTGGCTTACCATAATGTTCTCAAGTTCCATCCATTTTCCTGCAAATGACATGATTTCATTCTTCTTTATGGACTGAATAAAACTCCATTGTGTATATATACCACATTTTCTTAATCCACTCATGCATTGATGGACATAGTTAGGTTATTGTGAATTGTGCTTATATAAACAAGGGTATACATGTATCCCTATAATATGCTGACTTTAGGATAAATACCAAAGAGTGATATACTGGGTCATATGATAGTTCGATTCCTGGTCTTTGGAGGAAACTCCACCCTAATTTCCATTGTGTTCGTACTAAATTTCATCTTTGTAGCTTTTTCTAAGTATATTTCATAAAAGTACTCACTAGAGTAATTTTTAACTAATTATGTGATTTTTATAAAGGCATGATTCTTAAATCATGTAGTACATGATGGCTTTTCAATGGATATTGAATATTCAAGACATTAATTTATTTATTTACAAGCACATTTTTTATATGGGGAAGGAATACAAATTCTACTAGAAAGATACTTAAAAATAAAAAGACATGTCATGTCCTTTTAACTATGTAACAGAGTATGTGCATTTATACAATATTGTGTGTGTGTGTGTGTATAAACTAAAACCTATGTAATATAGTAACACTGTGTCACTGTGTTTTAAAGAACCTGGAAACTTTCTGTTTGTAATGTTGTATACAGAAAGTTAATGCTTCCATTCATTATCTGAGAAATGTCCATTAAGAGAGGAATATAATTTCCTTAGGTCTAGGTTAACTTCTTCATGCATAACCAATAAGCTGGCATGAGTTCTGATTTTTTATAATTGAATGTTACTGAAAGTGAGCAATGTTAAAAAGCCACTAATTAAAAAGGTAACTGATATTAGTAATGGAAAGGAGCATTTGAAAAGGGGAATAAAAAGATGACAGGGAGTTCAACAGCCTAGACCTTGAAAATCCACTAGGCTTTCAGTTCTTTCATTTAAATGACTAACGTAGATGAAGTAGTGGGGAATACAAATATATAACTTCAGAGAGATTAAARCAGTAGAATTAAAGAAAAGATAAAAAGAAGAAGTGATATGTTGTTTATCCTTCTCACATATTATTAAATTGATCTAATGTATAGTGAACATTCTTAAATAAAATGAAATTCTGAGCTCTGAGGTTAAGAGACAAAAGACAACTAGCTACTGTAAAGACCAAAGCAATTATTTTAATATTGTTAAATATTATTTTAATATTTCATTTTGTTATTATTTTAATATTGTTAGTAATAATAACAACCCTTTCCCCCTTGATAACACTTAAGCAAATAACACTTAAGCAAACCTAAGTCATGTTGTACCAAACTAGGATGGAATTGTGTATTGTAGAAATTATTTTAAGACACCTTAGAAAAGCCTTTCTATTTATTCCCACAACTGTGTTAGACYTGAAAGAGGGGACATAGGTAAAAAAGGTATGAAAAGAAATCTAAGCAACACATTTCCTATTTTACTAGTAATCATTAAAATCAATGAAAGGGATCTAGCAATTTGATTAAAATTTTGCCTTTTGTGTTTTGTTCTCTTGGAATCGCTTTCATAATAAGCACATCATTGTTATAGCTCTTTGGCATCATTGTGTGGATTCTGAAAACATTCTGCAAGTTAGCAACCACTAGT